TGGTAGGAATGCTGGAGATCAAATTCAACGTCTTGCTAAATCAGTTTACAAAGTTGAAGCACAAGCTGCAGGTATGCATGTTGGACCTTTTTCTTTTCTTCTTTAAGATCACAACTTTGTATGTTCATAAGAAAAATATAAGAATGACTGATTAAAGTCTAACCTATATGGCACTTAAACAGATTGAAGACCAAATTTCCAAATATTCTGGATATTTTGTCTTAAAATCTTTGTTGTCTACACTAAATGCTATTCAGAAAGTTGGTTGTGGAAACACTGGGGACCTAAGATTTTTCGTGAAAGTAGCCTTTTGTGACATATAGATCTAGGGCTCTGTACTCTGATGATACCCTTCTAACCCTAGTTAATCAATAGGAGAAATGACCTTGCAATTGGGTTGAAGTGTGTTGCTTGAATAAAATATTGAATTGTATCGATGAGCAAAATAGGGCATTGATGGTGCCCTAATATGTATTATCATTTCAGGTTTTAGCCTGAAGTTTTGTTCACTTGGTGGGATGAATTGTTGTATTCACATCCCCATTTGTTTGATGTTCTGTACAGATTTGATGGACGGGTTGAGAGAAATTCCTGGCAGGGAGGCTTTGAAACTTCGAGCTGAGGCAAGCCAAGCACTCTCTCTTTAAGTTGTCATTTTTCTTCTGTTTGTTTTCAGTGGTTCAAGCAGATTTGTAACCCTAACCTTCCTCACTCTTTATTTAGGTGGCTTCTATGGCATCAACTTTGAGGCAGCAGAGAATTTCACTGGACAAAAGGATAATGAAGATATCTGAATTAGGAATACCTGTCTGATCAGGGCCACTTCTCTCTTGTTTCATTTATTTCCGTTTTCTGAAGCTAAACCGGATTTTCTGGAGATTGCCCATTCATCCTTTGTACTCAGTCAAGTGTTATTTCTAACACTAAGCAATCAAAATCAACTCTTTACAATCTCAAAATAAATTCTTTGATGAATTTAAACATATTTTGACCAATGCACTCATTCATCTCTACGGAAACTCGTTAAGGACCACCATTCTGCTACCAGGGTAATACAGTCTTCACACAGTTGATGCCTCGGCAATGGTATATACATATTTGAAAAAGTTTGCAAGATGAAAGGGTAAATGAGGCAGATCTGATCATTCCCTATCAGTTCAAGAGTTATTCTTTCTTGCACTTCATTCAGTTGTTACAAATACAATCCTGAAAAGAGTTTTTGAGTTGAATTTCCAAAATCACAGTTTTTAAAGGACGTATAGGGGCACCGTGTGCTTCAGCCCCGTGTCATTCCTATGAAACATTGCCCAATAACTTCAACGGAATCACTACAAAATTAAGGAAAACAAAGATTAAAAAACTACCAGCTAAGGCTACTCCTGCAAAGCCACCACCACCACCACCACCACCACCCGCAGCAGCACCAGCAAAACCACCCCCACTCGAGGCAGCTGCAGAGCCTACACCTGTAGAAGCTGCAACCAGCAAATCCTCCACCTTGGGAAGCCATAGCTGCGATCCCACCTCCACCAGAAGCCATAGCAGCAAATCCTCTCAAAGCCATAACAGCCATAATCTGTGGTTTCCACATGCTCTCCTCCTTTTTCTTCTAATTTCTCTCTACTCCCCGTAGACACGATGAATAAGAGGATCCTCCTTTTTCCGATCCTTCCCTTGAGTGAGGGTTTTACGCTTTGGGCGGCAACGACGAGTGAAGTCCCGCCTTATCCCTCTGTTTTAGCCGTAGCTGCAAATTTAAGGCGTTGCCATAAATGGGGCCTCTCAACTAGATCAAAAACAGTATAAAAATGAAAACTTTTTCTTGCAATTAAACAGTTTTGATCTGGGTTTTTTTATTTTTTATTTTTATTTTTTTGTCATCTATTCATCCTGTTTCTGTACCCTCGATCCATTGCTTCGGGTGTTTGCTTCCCTTTACGAAGAAAATAAATGCATCGTTATGTCCAGTTCCATTGTAATGGGATTCATGAGCTTCTGGGATTATGAAAGTTTAGATGGAGATCTCAAGGGGACAACATGAGTTCCTGAAACTGATGCACAAACGCTATGGGAATTGGGAAAGGGGTGGCGTTCAAGGACGAGGCGCATCAAGCTTCCATTTTTTGAACTCTACTATCAAGACATTTGCTTTCACAGATTAACATTGTTTGTTATCTCAGGTAAAAGCTCAAATTCACAACTTTTCAACTTTAGAACATCCATTTTCTGAACTCAATACCTGTAAAATGGCATCCATGTGAGATTTTGGTTTCTGGGTTCAACATCAAACTTTTACATTGTAAAAGAAAGCATATTGCTTGAACAATCAACATAAGATGCTGGCATTGACAACACTCGGAACACTTATTTCTATATATAAGATTAAATGTTTCAGATACATAAAGCAGGCGATATGCCTTTTACAATAACTATGATATTAGTACACATGCTTTTGGCAGAAAAAAGACCTGCACTGCAGCTTCTCCTCGCCTAACAGTTAACGAACTTGGTAGTTGTTACCAAAGACCACACATAAAAGCAACTGTCTTTGGGCGGGTGAAAACCCCTGTTCACCTCAGCCGGAATACCACTCACAGAGAACAACAACACATTAGGAAAGAGGAAAAGGAAAATACTAGACTTTAATTACTACTAAGAAGGGTTCTACAGTTTGTAGATACCCTCCATTGACTTAGACATGGGAGGACCATGTAAAAATGCCCACCAAAATGGGTAGAGTTAGAGGTGATAATAAGGCTTAGTTTTGGGAGGTTCAACTTGGTTAGCTAGGATGATGATCTGGCCGGAGAGTTAAAATTGCTGTCCGGTGTAGGTCTGGCCAAAACCCCAGTTGGATGGGGCCACGTTGTTGGAGGTTAGAGAACGTCCATCACTGGTTTTGACAGTGAAAGAGAGGGCTTGGTCATTAAGGTAGCTGTTGCTCTGCCAGTTCTGGCCCCAGTTCCTGGACATAGCCTGCCAACCGGTTTTACAGCCTTTTATGGACACAGCTACAACATCACCTGCTCCACCAACGTTGGTTATTAGCACCAAATTAAAGTAGGAGTGACCGTTGATTGTGAATCTGATCCCACCACTCCTCTTGCAAGGAACCCTGCAGAACACCATAAAAACTATCAGTATGTAAATTTCAAATAGGGTCAGGCATTAAATTTTGAAGCCTTGGTGTCCTGATCTTACCTTCTATATTGAACAGGGATGATCCCAGCTTTGTATTTAGCAATTCGTTGGAAAACTGGCTCAGAAAGATCAAAGTGCTGCTGGGGAGGATTGCACCAGCCTCCATTGTTATTGGGGAGAGCAAGGTTGGGAGGGCAGAAGTTGGTTCCAGTGATTATAATAGATCCAGGCAGGCACCATTGCGGATCTTGGTTACATTTGATCTCAAAGCAAGCTCCACAGCTCTGCCCATTGTTGAATAGAGCAGTGCTCAGTGCAGCTGTGTTGGTTCCGTACCCCTGGCTGTAAAGATTCCCATAACCACAAGCTCCTCCTACACCATTAAAGACCAGAACATGAGAGTTTATCACAAAGTACACATATTTAAGACTGCAACTCATAAATGACTTTTTCACTTACCCATTGTCCCTGAAGCATCTGACCCTCCATAGAAAGTAGCATGTGCATTAGTCCATCCTGCTCCATAGGCTTGAACAGTCTTCAACAATGTCAGAAGGACTACTATTGTGCAACCAAGGAACTCCATTGCCTGCTGAAAAGAAGTGGATGTTAAATGAATGCAGCGGAAGAAACCTATAATAAAACAAGAAAGGAGGTCAGCTTACAATGCTGAAGACAAATCAAGAAACAAAGGAGGAGACTATGAGGAGGAGGGGAGCTGAAGAGCTGCTTATATAGAACTGTGTGCAAGGAAAGTGTATGATAAAGTTAAAATACAAGGCATAAGGGGAAATGCATAAAAAATTAAGGTAAGAGAAACTTGAAAGAACGGTATTTCAACAAATAACAATTAACTGAAACCCAAAAAGATGTAATTAAAATAATAACCAACTGCAGAAGTAAAAGAAACTCCACTTGTAAAAAAAATATTCCATTTGTTCTCAGTCTCATCCTTATGAGTAGTGCAGTCAATTGGACTTCTGAACTTCATTTTCAGAAAACAAGATGCCTTGGGAAAGCATAAACATGTAAAGAATGGTTCAAAGAAGCCAAAAACGTGCTAAGGGAATGTGTGATATTCTCACAGCTAAACACAGCACACTACTTGCAGTCACTCATACCAGAAAATTGTGTTAATTTGAACAAACTTCGGGAAGAAGACTACGCCAGATAAAGATAAAACAGCTTTTGTTCAAGAACGAGTCCTTTTCGCAAACCGTCCTAATTAGATTCTCTCCAAAAGGAAAATGGTTTTAAATTGAAAGTGTTCTTTTTTCCAGTACTGTTTCACTTTGTGAACTTAAAAGTTAAATGTCATCCAATTAACAGAATCTTTGTTCAAGATAGTTTTTTTAACTGATGATTCTTCCAATGTGGTGAACTGTTTTCTTTTTCTTCAACTCTTTTAAGGAACATTGCTCAATGCACATGGATGACCCTTAGAGTGCCTTCACAATTTCACTGACTTGTTTTCCGGCAAGCTGTAAATAAAAATATATTGTTGCCATCACTGTGAAGGGAATCCACCTCTGACTTTCTCATACAAAACCTAAGAGAAGAATCTCAATATTATATATCTGCACAAAGTTAGAAAAATACTGATATGAAATTTGACCACCTCAAATTCAGGATCTCATGGATTGGATCAAAGTTAGTGCCTCGCATGTGGCAAACCGCTCTAGATTAAGATAGGGTAAATGACACTCTTCCTCATGGCCCTTCCTTTCATTCCATTGTCTCTCGTTTATGTCAGCTTTATTAAGCACAATTAGCTGTAACCATCTGCCACAATCCTGCTACTGCCGCGTTGCTCTAACCTTTACAGCTTAACAACAAAAAAGCAACCGCTTTGATGATCAACCTGACTATAATATGCAGGAACATATTCTAAAGTACATTTAGTTAGGCTAGAATGATGATTAGGTGCTGGAAAGGAGAAAAGTTGTGCACGTGGTTGCGCTTATCAGTTAAGAGTAGTTATTCATATGATTAGAGACCAGAAGAGTTTGGAAAAAGCAAGAGATATTAAGAAGCCTAACATGGAGAACTCCTTTCAACCGCCACCAGAAGTTCTACGCAAGTGCATTTGGTATCACCATATATGCTGCTGCTGCTTACCTCTTTAATCTGCATATAATAATGCTGTGAGATGTGAAGAATTTTGAGCTGGCTTCATCATTTCTCGCCTTACAGGTAGTTAAAAAGCAACGTCGTACTTACCAAGCATGAAATCCAAATGAATTCGGTACCATGTGCTTGCTTGATCTTATACCCTCCAGTCTCCTTCGAGTCAATTTTTTGGAAATCCCAAATTTTCACTAATAAAGTATGTTAAGAGTAAAAAGTATCATTATATTTGATTTGATTCTAAACCAAGCATTGAGTCTTAAAACAATCCCATTTTCAGTAGTAGTAGACCGGCACAAAGCTCTCCGAAGAATTCTACAATGGTGAAGATTCCTTAAGATGGTACGTTTTAGTCGTACTCAGAAATTAACAGTCTAATTCAATACCTCAACTACCCTGGTTTTCACCTAGCCTTTCCCCCAAGAACTCCGTAACTCTGTATCATGTGGTCTTCTGTCACTGGTCCCATTGCCATCGTTCAGACTTCAGAGGTCCCTGAATCTGTATTGGAAATTGAAATCAAACCTAGGAATTGATTGAGACTTTTCCTGGGGAAAAAAAACTATAGTTTTCTGAATTGTCTCTAGAGATGATGAAAAGGGTTATTTGCAATGTCAGATTTTTGTTTTTTCTTCCAACTTCATCATACAAAATCCAAAGGAAAAACGCAACAATGTTTACAACGCTATTATTGTTTCTGAAAAATCTAGAGAAATTTTCGTGTTGGCCATCCCCCTCCTCTGCCGTTCGCTGGTTCGAGGACAACTGGATTCAGCACACAGTACCCTGTTCTCGAACAGGATTCGAGGGTGGCGCAGCCGGTCATATCCACGGCGAGTTTTCTCTCAAGTTCATGCCTTTCGGCTCTCCTCCTCAGATTTTGCCGTTTTATGATCGTACTTAGTTTCTCCTTTCTGTCCCTTCGGGTAACCGGAACCGGTATGGCGTCTAGGCCCATTAACTTCGCCACCACCCCTGGTTTGCACCAGACAACGCTCTCCCCTGCTAGCTTCGGGGGTAAACGGCAGAATCTCTCCGCAAGTCCTTGATCGCAGCAAACCGACCTCCTCCCTCCCTGAATCCCGAAGTTCCTGAACGAACTCCGGTACATAGCATCCTTCCCGTCGAGAGAAAATCGAGGGTACTGATTCAGAGCATTCCTCGCAGACCGCAGAATATCCGAATTATTAACACAAGACATTCTTCCAGGCCGAATCCCAGCATACTCATTGAGCTTCTCCTTCCTCGCAATCTCCTCTTCCAACTCCAACTGCAGTATCATCTCCTCCAACGTCGGCGGACTCTGCGATGAACCCGTATTATTAAGCGACCCCGGAGTAGCGATGCAAGAAGGGACCCCACCACGATCAGGGTTGTGTTGGTCGAGAGTGGAGGTGGAGGCATCACTGTTGCAGAAATTCCTAATCCCCTTCCTCATCTTGGCTCCGAGACTGTTCTTGAGGAGGAAAAAGGAGAGATATTTCATGGAGGTAGATTCATGGGTGGGTTGAAGTAGAAGGAAAGAAAATTATGGGGGGAGTAAAAAGGAAAGGGATAGGGCAGGTATGACGTGAAGGAAGTGAATGGGGAGCGGTGGAGGTCGGAGTAGATGACATTAATGGCGATCACATGAGAGGAGAGGCGTAGCATTCACTGGCTTCTTTTTTCTCGATCTCTGTTCTTCGGAAGGCGACGATGAAGTTACAGAACCAAAACCCACAAATTAAATTTGGTGGATTTCGGCCCAAAAAAACTGGTTGGATCCGTTTATGTCTAGCATTAAGCCCATGTAAAGTTGAATATAATGGGCTGAGAGTGTTACGAAGCCCATAAACCAAAGAATCGAAACGGTTCGTTTTTTCCGGGGGGAAACTACAAGTAGTGAGTGGGCATAGTCCGGTTAACCGAAATTTTGGTTATTTTAATACTAAAAATCATTAACCAAACCGAAAATAGAGGATTTTATTGAATTGGTTAAATCCCCATTTTGGTCCCTGAACTAAAGAAATTCCTGGTTTGGTCCTTAAACTATTGTACAGACCCTCGATTTGGTCCCCACTGTTTATAATTTGCCCTAAGTTGGTTCTTGAACTATTGTACGGACCCCCAATTTGGTTCTTACTGTTTACAATTTCGCCCAAATTTGGTCTTGAGCTATTATTTAACAGAATGACCAAGTTGAGGTTAAATTGGTAAACAGTATGGACCAAATTGGGCATCTGTATAATAGTTTAGGGACTAACTTAGAAGTCCGTACAATAATTTAGGGACCAACTCAGGGTTCGTACAATAGTTTAAGGACCAAATTAGGGATTTCTTTAGTTTAGGAACCAAATTAAAGGTCCGTACAATAATTTAGGGACCAAAATAGAAGTTTAACCTATTGAATTCAGTTGATTTTTTTGAGAATAATTATTTGAATAGGTTTTGGTTTTAATAAAATATTTTTTAATTTAATAATTATTAATTTATTAATTTTAATCATTAAAAAATTAAAATTTACTTAAGTAAATAATTAATTTTAATGAAAAATGGTAAAAAAAAAAACCTTTAAAAAATAAAAAAATCATTAAAAATTTTACATAACAAAACGACAAAGTTTTGGGTTTCCCTCCGGCTTCATCTAGGCTCGTCGGACTCAGATCAGAGATTGTGGTGCTGTGTTGATTGATGTTCATCACCATTCTTCGATTCACAAAAAATCCATCGAACTCTGCATCATCCGCATGTTTATAAACCCTAATCCGTAATCTTTATCAATCTCTGCTCAGGTTCGCTTCTTCTCCCCCAATATCTACTCCTAATTTTGCTATTTTCTAATCCATTCTCCGATCATGACACTCATTCATCTTTGAATTGGTATTTGAATTGGTATTTGAATCCATAATTTCGATTCGATGATGTTTGTATTTCAGTTTCACGATTGTTTTCTTTTTTGTTGATTTTTAGTAGGAAGATCATAGTGACCGCTTTTTCAATGAAGAGAATTCTGCCGCATTTCTTCTCTGTTTTGCTCGTCTTATCTCAGGTTTCAGCATCGACGGTGCCCGCCTTTCTCTGGTCGCCGCAGTAAGCTCTCTTATCTCCATCCTAATCCCTATATATCAGCTTTTTGTTTGTGTTTCCAATTCTCCTCAAATCTCTGTTCTTTGAAGCTCGTTTATGAGTTAATACATGTTTTAGAGATATCTTTAAATGACTTCTGTATTCCATATTGATTCTGTTATCCACAATATTCCTTGTTTCATCCCCTTCAACATTTTGTTTTACAAGTTGGCATCTCGTTTTGTTTCATTTTGAATCATTACAGGTCCTCGTATAATGGATTGAAGGAAACTGTAAATTATCAGATCATGTCACCTAAGGGTCTAGTGAACTCTGTTCTGTCTGAAGGCGGCTGGTTAAACTTACTGGTATTGCTGCTTGCTATCAGCATTCTGCTTTAAATTTTCACCATGGCACTTGTTATAAGAATGAGGAAGATGTTGGGTTGATTTGCTTGGTTTGGTTTTCTTGGTTTCCTTATTCTGTTCCACTTACTTTTCTAATGTTTCAGTGCTCTGGGGAGAAACTTCAGCAGCCTGTCGAACTGGCAATTGTTTTTGTTGGTAGAGAGGTTAGAACTTCTGTGACATATTTGCTGTGGTAGAGAGGTTTATAAATAACACTTCAGCTTAAGCATTCCTTGCCATCAACAGTCTTTGCTATGGCTAGCTGAATAAATTAATGTTTACAAATTTCACATTGCTGTTCATTTCCAGACCACTCATGGTGTGACTTTTATTCTCTGTAGTTGCACTCCTCAGATATTGCTGGGGGCAAACATGTAGATCCGGCACTTGTTGACTTGCTCAAGGTAGCTAGCATCTGTTGATTGCATTTATTCTCATTTCTGTTTACAAATTTATAAGACATTGGGCTAATCACTGCATCAGATTCCAGCTTTCTGCTCTATGACAATGGATGTTTGTTCTGTGCCTCCATACAGGTCTCCTTTACCAAGTCCAATTTTTCAATGGCGTTCCCTTATGTTGCTCCATCTGAGGAGGGGACTATGGAGAATTTGTTGGTTTCAGGGTTAACAGAAGCTTGTGGCCAAGATTTAGCTTCCATTAATGTTGCATATTCAGACTCATGCTCTATAGAGGGTGGAGACTTTCAGAGACTTGCAGATTTGCATTCTTTACATGTAAATTATCTCTATTAATGCTATACTAATTGTCTTGTCATGAAACAATGTGGCAAAAAGATTTAAATTTTTTTTTTTTTTTCCTTTTGAGTTATTAATTCTTGTAAGTTTTGTTGAAAAAATATACCCAGGATCATCTGGCTTCAAGGATGGAAAGGAGAACAAAGGGGCAGACTGACTTGGTTGTCTTCTGCCAAGGAGGGTTTCATTCTTTGAATGAAGTGGACCAGCCAAGTCCAGAAAGTATGTTAAGTTAATTTGCATTGTTGTTATGCTTTCATTTTAAATAGTGTTTGTTTGTTTGATGGAACTTGTACGTTCTGATACCATTTATGCAAATATTTTAATCAATATGCAGGTGAGGTTTTGTCTGAAGTCATCAATACTGTGGAGCAGTCTGGGGCTAAATATGCAGCTCTTTATGTTTCTGACCCTTTTAGGTCTATCTCTTATCCTTCTTATTGGGAACTTGAGAGGTTTCTTGCAGAGGGTGTTGAAGGAAATGGAACAAACTCCACTCGTTGTGATGAGGTTTGCCAAATCAAGTCCTCACTTCTAGAGGGGGTTTTAGTTGTGAGTGACCATCTTCACCTTTTGCCCCTTCTTTTCTTCTACTCTGTATTCTTCTGGTCTTTACTGATATTTCTTTTTCCGCATATAAATATTGACATTGTGACAAATATGTGTTTCTGATATTGCTGTTCTTGCATGATATTCAGGGAATTGTGCTGCTTTTAATTTTAATATCAGGACTTTGCTGTATGATGGGCATTGACACTCCAACAAGATTTGAGGTGCCCCAAGACTCTTAGTTGGTTATTTGTGCAACGTAATGCCTTGATGTCATGTTTACCTTCTTGTTCCTAGGACTGGGGGAAGTTATTAGTTGTTTGTTATATAGTTGAAACAGGCAAAGTCGCAGAGGTGTTACCCTGTAATATTTGTTAGAACTTGTTTAAGGTCATTATATTTTGTTTGAAATAAAAATGGTTATTGTTTTATCAAGGTAGCATTTGCATTTGCATTTGCATATTCTCTTGGTGGTGTCTTCCGGAGATAGAGATTCTTGAGTACAATTTAGCTGAAGAGCTTTTCAATCACTGGCCTTGTTGACAATGTAATTACTGTCATTGTAAAGAATAAAATTCTGAAAAATATTGGCTGGAAATAAGGTGTTGACCAATGATTTTGCAGCTTGAGCTCCAGTTTAATATGGCACGTGGATTGTAATCATCATTCCTCCCATCTGTGGCCTTGGCTCTAGGAACAGGAAGTATGGTGCAACCAAGGATGACTTGCCAACTACCTTCCTTGTTTTGCTGCTTCATTGATCTTTAGGAAGCGAGATGAACTAATTAGAAGTTGACAGGTTGTTCTTGGCTACATCTTTCTTCCTGCTCGACATGCTAGGCCTTCTGATGAAATTAGACATCAATGAGGAGCTTCTCAACACACCAGTAAAGTAGTACTTAATATTATAGTTTCCTTTATATATGATTGTTTCTTCGGGACTATGATCATGTCTACTGAGGCTGGTATTCAATTTCCTGTAATTCTGTGACGGATTAAGTTGTTCATTGGAACGTGACTCAGCTCAAATCTCACAGTTCAAATTTGGAGGTTTTACATTGACTACTCACCTAATGTAAAATCTCTTCTCAGAGTTTGGGGTTTGGGACCTAAGCTATTATAAGAAGTTGGTTATGCTATGGGATTTTCCTTTCCACACAATGATTGTGCATGCTACATACATGGTTGGTGTTAAAAACCTTCCCCCACAAAAGCACTTAGAAAGGCAGCTGCATGAGAGTAATCATTTTTGTTGATGTAAAGAAAAGAGAGAGAGAAATATCGAAAAAATACCATGGCCGTGAGAGCACAACTTAAATATTTCACCAACCAAATTCACCTAGTAAAATAAATCAAAAAAGTGTTTTTCAAGTTGGACTGCATATTAAAAGTGTAATCTCATTATTGAAATTATTAAAATACCTTTAATATATATTTTTTTATATTTATTTATTAAGAATAATTTAATAATTTCAGTATCAGAACTACATATTTAATATACAGTTTGAACTAAAATACATAAAACTCAAAATAAATAAAGAAAAACTTGTTTTTTAGTTCAAATTGACTAAAAAACAGTCTCTCAAGGCATCTGATCAATGCCACCATATACGATCAAATACAAAAGCAAAGAAAGATTCCATAGAATGTTACTATTATGGTTGTTGTGTTGGACAGTAGGAGTAGCTGCTTCTTCCTAATTCCTACTGCAACCCTAATGCTTAGCTTAATTAAAGATGGAATCTCTCAATTTAAGTCGAATAGGACCCCACTAATAACCTCACCAACAGACACTATCACTAAATTCCATCCTCCAGTCCCCAGCATATATGTTACTAAGAAACCATTTCCCAATTCTTCAAGCCAAAGGTTACTCACTCTTGGCTTTTACCTGTTAACCATCTTTCCACTTTGCCTCTTTTTCACTTCTGCGTATGTAACATGTATTGTAAGTACATTAATGGTACTTGGTACCAAAATTGATAATGCAACTTGAGTCACCAAACAAAACACTTGACCAAGTAAATTCTTTCACCATCACACACCCAACCTTTGGTCCCTCTATTGTGTATTTTTATCGCATACATCAATTTTGGAAATTTGTACTTTAAACCAAGGTTTGATTTTGATCAATAGTTGCAAATTTTTGTGTATTTAGATTTTTTTAATATAGTATTGATCTAATCAAAGATATGTCATTCACGTTAAAGATTTTCACAAATAATTATTTCTCCATAACCTCTTTAAAGAATCAAACATTTAGTAGATTTATTTCGAAACTTTTGGAACAAAATGCATATTGTGATTATATCTTTTTAATATGCATGGGAATAATGATACAGAGGACGACTATCGGGAGACGAAATTGGTGGCGACTTGGCTTGTATGTATGCAGACACCCAACCCACTTGCTACATAGACATACACACGTGTAAACTAAAGAAATTACCAGGTAAGTCGCCGCCCAATTTCGTCTCTCAAGAATCGTCCTCCGTATCCATACATAATGGTATTTTGTATGGATAGGTTTCAGTTTTCTCACTAGACAAACACTGTACATTTCCAAGAAAATTTACTTCATCCAGCAAATGGTCCAGGTATAGATTTGAATCCCAATCTTCAGATTGCTTTTTAGGTAATGTAAAATTATTGTTATGCCAACGAATGAATGTTATGAGCCGTTGGATTTGTTTGTTTCTCAAGAAAAAGATTTCATATGGTCCTCTCTTTCACCAAATATTCATGGTACAACATGGAAAATTATTAATCAATTTGACTGGTTTGGATTTGTATGAAGGTTAGACTATTATTCAATTTCTTGTTGCCTGTGTACTTCTTGAAAGTTGGAATAGATTTTCTCAGATCCATTAATTGGTCTATGTTGCCTTAATTTTCACACATAATTAAATTTAAAAGATAAATCAAAAGCTCAAATTTTCAAGATTGGACCACAAAATCTTGGAAAATGATTTATCTACAATGTTTTCTAACGTATAAGAGTTTGAAACTCTAAGTTTGAAGTCTTAGTTCAAATCTTGAAACAGGAGACATTTGTAAAAGAAAAAGATTATGGAGTGTTGTGTAGCTTTGTTAAAGATAAGATAAGGATTATCAGAATGAAAACAGATAATTTTGAGGCATGATCTCACTCTCCTTAAGGATTCAAAAATCCTCTAGGATACAACAGAACAGAACTCAAACTCTCTCAAATTAGATATAGAACTTTGACTTTGCATATGAATTTATATACATTAAAAAGTCACTATTTATAGAGATGTATCTCTTCAAAAAGACACTATTACATAGAGGTACCTTTAGACTTCCAAAGGTTATCCAATTTTGCAGACATGCCTTTTCAGATTAAAATTTAATAAATTAAATTAAAAAAAAATCCGAAAATAAAAATTAAATATTTTGGAAGTCAAGTCCCAAGTGCCCATCTTTGACTATATATAAAGAGCAAAACCTAATTTATCTTGAACTTCACTTTATTTATCTATTTGTTGATAACAAATAAGTCTTTATAAATTCCTTTTAACTTCCCATATTTTCTTGACGTGGGACCTTAACATTTGCAAACTACTCAACAAGCTTAACATCATAATATATGTAAAAGAGTAAAAAAAATAAAAAAAGGAACCATGAAAGGAGTAAAAATGAATCATGGGACCCTCACAACAGCCATTGTTTTGTTTATGCAGAGGGTAGGTCCTTTGTCAAGAAGCTATTAGCCAATAATGATAATTTGTTCATATGAAGGAAAATGTTTTTCTGCTTCATGCTGTAACAGCGAAAATTTAACAGGAGAAAAGGGGTTTTGAGTAGGTATTAGGTCTTTTATGTCTGACCTTGTAGTGCCATTTGAATCAGTGAAGTAGAGGTTCTACCACTTTCTTATGAGTTTTCAACTCCATCACCATCACCATCTTCTTCTTCATATCTCCCCTGACAATGGTTTCGAGGATGGTTTGTTACAAGGTTCCATTTTTAGCAGTGCAGGAGCTTTGAAGGTTTGAGCCTTCACCATGGAGGAGTTTTCATGGCATTCTTCATTTTCTTTTCTCTGCTTCACAAACCAGAACATTGATGGTATTCTTTCTTCATGTCAGTTTGCATCTTGTCTTCTTATCTTGCGTTGAACTTGCATGCACCTGAAAACAAAGAAGAGAGATTTAAAAGAGATGTTTCCATTAGGGAAAACAATTTCATTATTTCATTGCATAGTGCTCTCTTTAGCTGAAAGGAGGATTTTAAGTTCTTCCTGCAGTTAGAAATATGAAGGTCTAGGACATGGATTCAAAGAAATCAATTCAGAACCTGACCAACAGAATTCATTCCTTACTGGGATTCAAGTCACATTCAACTTCTGCCTGGATCAAGTCAGGTTGTGATATCATAGAAAATCTACCCCTTGAACGATTCAGAACAGATGTCAAGACAAGTAAAGATGATAAATCTTTCACTGACATTCCCAAGATAAAAGGCAAGCAGTCCATTTTCATGCACTCTATGTATGCATTAATGTGCAGACATTTTCATATCTCAGCTTATTCAGTTTACTGATACCCCCACTCAAATCCCCCTCCAATGTTTTTGGGTGCCTGTCAGCAGAAGAACTAGCTGCCTTAACTGCCTGCATAAACCAGTTGAACATAGAGAGGAGACAGGTCTTAAATGAGTTACTAGACTTGAAAGGTTAGTTTATCTCTTACTAACTCTAAAGCTCCTAAACTACCAATCTATATTAGTATAGAAGACTTTGAAACTATGCAGCTCTTCTAATTATCATGTAGCTATGAATGCCATGATTTGTTGAATATCTATTAACTCTAATGGAATTCTTAATCTAATTTCCAGTAAGATGTCTTAACATCTAATTTTTGTCATTACAGGAAATATTCGTGTATTTTGTCGAATAAGACCTGTCACACTGGGGGAGAATTTCGGACATTTAAGACCTGTTGTAGCTTTGGATTCAAGTAATATTCATCTAAAACTCGCTGATAATAAAACCAAGAGTTACAGTTTTGACAAGGTGTTCCACCCAGGTTCATCACAAGGTGAAGTCCAAATCCTCTCCTTGATTTTTCATTTTCTTGTTCTATTCCGGATGGCAGACAGGTGCAAAAATGATATATCATAGCCAGTTGCCCAAATTATTTAACCATCTGTGCCACGATAATTGATTTGAAATTTCCAAATTTCCAGATGAAGTGTTTTCAGAAGTTGAACCAGTCATCAAATCCGTCCTGGATGGTTATAATGCATGCATTTTTGCATATGGTCAAACAGGAACAGGGAAAACCTTCAGTATGGTAAGGACATCCTATTGCTATAACAGGATCATGACATAACTAGTACTCTAGTAAATACTGTATAAGATCCAGAATCTGCCTAATCCACATTTAAGCAAACTGCATAGTGATTCTAGCAAAATGATAATTTTTTAATAGCTTTAGCACGATTGACCTTGAAAAGTAACTCACCAGCATCCAAATCATAAGGGTTTGATGTATTTTTTATGTCACTAAATGTGTTCATTCTCTGTCCAAATTTGCAGGAAGGTACTCCAGATTCCCCAGGAATTGTTCCCCGTGTAATTGAGGCACTGCTTAAGCTAGCAGTGGATAGTAATCATGCATTTCTCATCACTTTCAGTATGCTTGAGATTTATTTGGGAAATCTCAAGGATTTGCTTGTACCTCAGCCAACAAAACCAACAGATCCTCTGCCACCATGGTAAGTAGGCAGTTTTGTTAGTGCACAGTCCAGTGCCTGCTAAGTTAATTCTAGATTCTCTCCATGCAGTCTCTCAATTAAAACAGATCCAAATGGAGGGATTGAAATTGAGAACATAGTGGGCATCCAAGTAAATGACTTCAACCAAGCTCTCAAGCTGTATAGATTAGGATGCCACTTCAGATCAACTGCCTCAACAAATTCAAATGCAACTTCAAGCAGATCTCACTGGTAACTACCTTTACTGACCCTTAACTGTTTAGAACATATAGGTCTTGGACTATCCATTTCAGTTCTAAAGGCCCCAAAGGAAACTGGAGCTTGAAAGTTATAACGAGCAACCAAATTGCCATGAGCTCTCATACTAAATTTGAAACTTTTCATCTTTCTGTTGTTCCTGTTAGCATGATCCGCATATCAATCACTTGCTTTGATGCTCCTGAGAGGAGACGAGAAACAAACAAAATCTGGTTAGTTGATCTTGGTGGGAGTGAGCGTGTAATGAAGACAAAAGCATGGGGAAGAAGACTTGATGAAGGAAAAGCAATTAATTTGTCTCTTTCTGCTCTTGGAAATGTAATAAATGCCCTTCAAAGGAAAAAGTGTTACATACCGTACAGGTAAGCATAAATCTACAAATTCAGAGGCCTTTAATACCAACCACTTGGCTATATGAATATTTCAATACCAACTGCTTCAGATGATCATTCCTCAATTAAAGAGACCATGATATAGTGCTCGAACTGTTAATCATAATAATAACCATCAAACTTAATTAACCTTTGAAGTTGTTCTACAATGACCTTTTCTTGGTAACAGAGAAATATATCAATGATTTTCAAAGTAGCTATCTCTCATATCTTCTCTATTGTTGCTAAGGTAAGAAGTAGACATGTATCACACGTGCCTGGATCATAGCAACCTATGCTTTATTGGCTGTAAATCTCCCTATCCTTCTGCATTATTGCTACTAACCCTAAACTATAAGCTTTGATTTCTGACAGGAACAGCAAACTGACACAAGTTCTCAGAGATTCCTTAGGTAATTATTCTAAACTAATGTGTTCTAATGAAATGGAATTCCTATGTGATGTGTGTCAGGATGTTTCTTTACAGTTCTCTGTTGTTCTTCACAATTCAACTCTACCTTCTTATCTTTAGGTGAAGATTCCAAAACACTTATGCTTGTTCATGTTAGCCCCGAAGAAGAAGATTTATGTGAAACAATAAGCTCTTTAAATTTTGCAACAAAGGTGAGAAGTGTTCATTTGCGGCATGAGGAATCAATTGTAAGTTATCTAATCTGTGGCCTCTTATATTTTAATTTACAACTTTTATCAGTATCTAGGGAAACGAATTTAACCCAGATGTAGATCCAGAACTAAATTATTTAGTGAATCTAGCTGAATAGACAAATAGTACAATATGAAAAATAAATGCTAAAGGGATATATATATATATATATATATTTGATTCAGATCAAGCACAACTCAAATTATCATGCATAATATTCAATCTGAACTTGAAGAGCTCCATTCAATCTAGACACATGATGTGTTTATAATGAAATATACAACACTGCTTTACAATGAGCAAGCATATTGATGCATCAAAATTATTTGAAACTAGTGAACTGCTGTTAATATCAATGATGTAATTATTAAATGTCAGTATCTAGTTTGCAAGAATTGCTATGATGAGAACCTCATTTCATTCCTTGATGCATAAAGCTTTTCTATCTCATGCTACATTGGGTTTATATCCTCATTATAACTGCTGAGATGAACAATTGATTTATTTTGGGTCATGAACTACTAAAATTCAGGAAATAAAAAACCAGAAGGAATTTGCAATGATGAATTTGCAGCAGAAGATGGAGAGGATTGAAGATGAACACCTACATGTTAGAAGACAGATAAAGAAACTAAATGAGAAACTAGAAAATCTTACAGGAATAGCGCTGCCTTTGGAAGAGCAACTGGAGGTTTCCCCTTTTTCTACCGAAGGGTCACTAACTGACCATGACATGGTCAATACAAGGAACAAAAATGTCAAAGCAGCTTCGTTGTTCCAGCTACCTAGATTCATGAGACCAACTATTTGCAGTAGAAGAAAATCTGGAATGGATCAACAAACTTCATCAGGGAGAGATAAAGTCATTTCAAAAAAGAAAAGGTCACTATCCAATTGTGCTGAGTCAGTAACTTTTCCTGTGAAGAGTGATTCAGAGTACAAGTCAGATTGCAGCATTTCAAAATCTACCTGTGTGCTGGAATTGAGAATGAAAAGTAGTGCTCACAATGAAACAGAATACAGCCAAGATGCATCTGAATGTGACCTAAAAAAGATTGTATTTCCAGAAAAGGAAAAATCATATCTTAAAACAACCAGTCAAAACGGCCAGCTTAGTCACCTCTACAGAAATGGAAGTCAAAGATTAGGTGAAAGCAGCTCCAAGAGATTGTTGAAGGTTGACAACTGGCTTGACCTGAACAAGAATGATCCTCCTATTAGTGGTTATGCTCCTAGGAACACAAGGGTACCAGCCATTCTCATCCCAGAGAAGAAACATGGATATAGTGGACAGAAGCCTTCTTCTTATGGCTTTGCAACAACAGAAAAGATATTCAACCAATATAGCATGGAGAGGCAGGTTGATATCTTAACAGTTGGGAGGACTGTGTCAGAGGTGGTTACTAACAAACCACCAACATTAAAGGATTTATTTGATGAGGAATCAAGATCTAGTTTTATTGTTCCATCTCATGCAATGAATGATCAGACAATGATGCAACCAGAGGACATACTACATGGCTCATCTATAGAAGACGATGAATGTGGAAGTGCTTTTCTGTATGATATTTCCTGTGGAGACCTTCAAGAGTACAATGGTGAAAATGAGGTCTTTGAAATGTATATGATGCAAGCAGTAAAGGACATGGCACAATGTTCAGAGAGTTCAATGTTAAAGAATGGTGGACACCAGTCTTTTTCGTCTGAGGTAGATGACAGTATCATCAACTCAAAGGAAGATTTTGGTGTTTTCACCCCAGAATCAGAAGAGGAACGGCACTGTGAAGAAGTGTACACCAAAATGAGTATGGAATACAGTAGAGATGGAGATGCTTCCTCTCAATCCTCAGCAAAAGGGACAAGAGCAAACTCGTGCAGATCAAGATCTCAAAGAGCATCATTCATGGGTGACAGAAATCAGGAGGAGCCAAGAGTAACACTTGTCAAAACACAAGGAATTACTCAGATAGAAGGTAAGAATTTTTTAGGCCTAAACCAAAACCACAAGACTATGAAACTACAGAACACAACTTATAAGCTACAACTTACGATTCCTTAAGTCTCAACCAATGATTACAGTTTGCTCTTACTGTCTTTTTGCCAGGACTATATAATTTTCTTAAATGTAAAGTTCAGCTTTCCTGTGCCACTGCTCTTCTAGGATTGGGATTGCTTGACTTGGGATTTGAGGATAACTTCTTCTACGGTCTAATGCTTTAAAGCAACTCCAATAGACTACAGGGAGCAGATATGGAGACAGAGGTTGAGAGTGTGAATTGTCCCCTCCTCTACGCAAGGCTTAATCCCAATAAAGCAACCATACATCCATGTACATTTGTACAGTTATGTAGACAAAGTGAGAAAGTTCTGGTGGCATCATCTACATTGTCCTAAAAAGAGTCTTTGCCAACTGAATATCTGGAACTCAGCATCCAAAGAATCAAGAGAATGACAAAATTTTGTAAGCCTATCATGCCCCGTGAAAGTTATTCTTTCCATGTAGACAGTAACCATGTAGAGTATTAGTAGTGAGCTCATCCTGATGCCCCTAATTTGCCAAACCAAATGGTATATAATGGTGCATTAGTCTTCATTTGTAAATATTCGTATCTTATTATGATTTCATTTTGATTTTCCTAATACATTTGTGATAAGACTTAAAAAGTCCAAAAAGCACATAAACTCCTTGTTAAAGGGCTCGATCAACCTATTGGTAAAACAGTTCTATGTGGAAGGTTAGCCCATGCATCTAAACATATTTACCACGAAATTCATAAAACTATACCTATAGAATGGAATGAGAATAAGAGTTCCCTACTCATGTAAGCAAAATTGACAATATAAGAAAAAAAGAAAATAATAATAATAACGTAACATTTGAAGCACAGAAAGCAGAATGGTGCGTGAAAAAAGGATGGATTGTGCACAGACATACCTGCCTGTTGCTGAGATAGCAGAACTACTATGAAAAACAGAGCTCTTGGAATCGGCTAGGAGATTTTCTTGATTCAAAGTTCTTAGAATCATAAACCCATGAATTTGGTAAAGGCGCATGAAGCTGCAGCAGCAGCACTTTTTTAGCAATGAACCCAGTTCCCCTGCTACCACTACACATGAATTTCCGGTTAAGGTAGTTGGGTCGGTTGAGTTAACCTGATTGGATTGGGTTCTAGAAATAAGGTCATGGGTGGGTGAGACCCGGGTGTTATCCCAAATACAGTAGATGAAAAAGGTGGAATCTTTAATTCTTTTAGGGATAAAAGGTGAAATCTTTTTGGGAGGAAGAAGTAATCTGATACGGTACCACTGAAGAGGAGTAGTAAATGAATGACATCAAGAAGCAAACCGGAGCGTAAAAAACGGAAATTTGGTGTTGGGTTTTGGTTGAGAGAGGGTGAGAGCATAAGCTTAACAACAAAGGGCGTTTAATTACAAAAGAATGAATATAGTCAAATCCTCCTTATTATCCCTCCTCCTCCTTCTACTCCATCCCCTTCTTCCTCTTCCTCTGCTCCTCCTCCCCAAACCCCAAAACCTAGCAATTCTGGTTGATTCCTCCCCATGTGCATATAATTATTTCATTCTTACCCATCAGATCTACTGGTTTCTGTATCTTTCTCTCTCTGATTGTGGCTATGGTTTCGTGTTAGTGCCCTTAGTGGGTTTCTGTGGTTCAGGTACTGAAGTGTTTTTACGTACTGAGAATTTTTGAGGAGGAAAATGGATGGGAATTCCAGTGGAGGGGATAGGGGAGGAGGGGGAGGGAACGATGTTGAGCTTGTGTCCAAGACTCTGCAAGTGGAGCACAAGCTGTTCTATTTCGATCTCAAGGAGAACCCGCGTGGCCGTTACCTGAAAATCTCCGAGAAGACCTCCGCCACTAGGTCTACCATTATTGTACCCTTCTCCGGCATCTCCTGGTTCCTCGATCTCTTCAATTACTACGTCAACTCCGAGGATCATGAACTCTTCAGCAAGGAGTTGCAACTCGATACCAAGGTCTTTTACTTTGACATTGGCGAGAACCGCCGTGGCCGCTTTTTGAAGGTAACAATTGGTCAACTTTCTCTTCTTTGCATACTCTGGCTGTTATTTTTCTCGTCCCAGTAGTTTCTCTTCTTTAGAATTTTCCTCTACTGAGTGAACGGTAGGCATAAATTCTTATTCTGTTTCATCCTGAAATTGAGCAATTTACGAGCTTTGGATTGAACAGTTCCCAGAACTATGTTCTGTAGCACTCTTAGTTAGGGCTTGCATTAGTGTTTGTTCTTTCGAAATGATCAAAATGCTTCAATTGCTGAGGCAGAAGCTCTAAGGCTAGGAGTTTTATTAGTAGCAATGCATTTGAAGCGACGCTTTGTATTGTTGTTGTGATCTTGTTATTCATTATATAATGTTATCGAAGGCTGCAATGGTGCAATGAGATAGCTGTGACTGGATAGTGGAACCATTACTGATTTCCGCAGGGCAGGGGATTAAGCATGTTTGGAGCCTAGGTTGCATAATAATTCTATATTTTGGACTTTATCATTGTTCTCTGTGGCTAGTTGCTCAAATAAAATTATACATGCAGGTATCTGAAGCTTCTGTCAGTAGAAACCGCAGTACCATTATTGTTCCTGCAGGAAGTACAAGGGATGAAGGGTGGGCTGCATTCAGAAGTATTCTAGCAGAGATCAATGAGGCTTCAAGGCTTTTCATATTGCCCAATCAGGTGTCCTAATACATGCATACACTCCAATTGTTGTTATTTCTTTGTTGTCACATTTTAGTTTCTCTTTTCCAAGGTATCTCACATAGTTATACTCTTTTTCCCTCTTTCCATCTTGTTGTTGTGCATTTATGCATGTGTTGAAGCAGCAAAGTTCTGAACCTTCAGAACATCTAGTTGGGCTTTCAGATGATGTAGGAGCCGGCTTCATATCCGGACACAGCAACCAACCAACCACATCATCTGAATTGAATGTGGACAGATCAGTTGAATTGCCAGCTCAGGATGAAATCAGTAACATGGGGGTTTCAAAGGTTATCAGAGTTGATCAGAAGAGATTTTTCTTTGATCTTGGAAGCAACACCAGGGGTCATTTCCTTAGGATATCTGAAGTAAGCTTGAAGAGGATTTGCTTGTAAAGATTTGTTAAACTGAATTTAAATTTTTCTGGTGATTGTTAGATTGATTACTGGATGGTCCATGATTGCAGGTTGCAGGTTCTGATCGGTCCTCCATCATCCTTCCACTCTCAGGATTGAAGCAGTTCCATGAAATGGTAGGCCATTTCGTGGAGATTACTAAAGATCGGATAGAAGGCATGACTGGTGCAAATGTTAGAACGGTAGATCCTCCTCAAAGATGAACATGGCGTGTGGAGACTTGACTTCGGGTGAAATAAATTACTCTTGATTCTATGAAGTTGCTTCTGAAGCCACTCATAGTCATAGGCGTTTGATCAGAGTGCCTTTTCTTATTTTCTTATCCCGTCCTCTCATTCTTGTTTGAAAATAATCCGATTTTCTCTGTTTGATTGGCAGAGTAATTTCGGAGATAGTAGTGAAGTTTTGTTTCATAAGGTAATAATAGACAACAAACCAAATACCTGTAATAGTTAGTTTGGAAATGTGGCACCCTCATTACATTTTCAATAATGCTCATTTCAGATGTGTGTATTGCTTTATTTCAGCACAAAACAGTTACCAAATGTTAATATTTATTTTGAATTCTTAGCTTGAATTGAATTTCTGGTGTTCTACTGCAGATTAATTCATACCTATTTATAGTGTTGTAGAAACAGAGACTGCTACCCCCATAAACCTTATCGTTCCTGAATTTGAATAAAGCTTCAATCCTATAAAATACTTCTGCTACTTTTTCTTCCCTCCCACAAAAGGATTGGTAAGAGTCCTCTTATTTTATCCCATTTTCCCTACAAATTATAATTTTTTAAAATAGAGTGTTGTGTAATCGAAATTGCACACATGAAAATTAACCTCCCTAATATTAAGGGCCTTCCTTCGTCAGGTCTCGTTCAGATGGTAAAAGAGGTTTCTATCTCAAAAAAAAAAGGGAAGAAGAAGCATAATATGAAGAAACATGAAATTAATTAGACGTAATTTGCAGAGTTGGGCTAGTTGTATGTATTGTGAAGTGTTAATATTATTTAAAATGATTTACAATAGAGGAGGTAGAAATAGGACAGAAATTTTTTTTTTTTTGGGCAAATTAATCCAATAAAAGATGAGAGAAGTATTTATTGCTATCAGGAAGCGTTGATCCTTGCTGCAACCTCCCCTTTAATTAATTTAGATTGTGTATGGTGGAGGCTTGGGCAAGTTCTGGACGGCGCCGCAGAGCTGAACGTTGTCGGGGATGTTGTATTCGTCCCTGAGGGACCTTGCAGGTGACAAAACACTAGCATAGAGCTGCTGCCCCAGGTAGTGCCTCTCCCAGTTCTCCGACCTGATGTTCCACATCCCGGCGTTGTCGAATGTCAACAGGATGGCGGACCAGGATTTGGGGAACACCTGAACGGTGTGCCTGCTCACGGCGTCGAGCAGATTGTAGTTCCTTCTCTTTTTCGGGGTCCATTTCCCTACTTCCGAGGCAACTGCAAAGAATGAGTAACCGTCTAAGTGCCAGGACTGAATGGCCGTTTCGTGGTTCTCGAAGATGATCTCCACAAAGTTCCGGAATGTCATGTTGAGGACAATGGGTTTGACGGTGACGTCCACTGAGTCCTTTTTGGGTGGTTCATCTCTGATGGCATCGTACTTGAAAACCTTGTCGGCGACGTTGTAGTACTCGGCAAGCTTGAGTGGGGTGGGTGAGTCCACGTGGGAGACACCGTTCAAGGCATACCGAAGCTTTCCATTGACCTTGGTGGCTGTGTTGGCGAGCTTAATGGTGCGGGTGATGTTAATTGCACCATAATGGTAGGACCCCTGGGGGTTAGGTCTGGCAGCGCTGGCGGTGAGGTTCCAGCGGAATGTGCGGAATTGGTTGAGGGACCATGCCCAGCCAACCGGTGCAGGAGGAAGCACTGGTGAGGCTGCACCCTTGCCATTGGTGTAGCGGATGATTCCGGTGGTGGTGATCTCCTTCCTGAGGAACCTGGTGGAGGCCACAATGTAGTAGTCTTTTGGTGCTTGGTTAGCTGTTACGAGGACCGCGTAACACTGTCCAACATGCACATCAAGAGACTCATATGTGTTCTGCACGGTGTGTGAGCCTTCCATTTCCACAAGCTTCATGTTGTGGTTCTGGATCCTGAAATTAATCGACGTCTTCAGCCCAACATTGCAGATCCTGTACTTGTAAGTCTTTCCAGGCTGCATGGTGAATAGAGGCTTGTTTTTTCCATGACCCTTGGCAGCGCCCTTGCCATTGATGAGGACACCATTAGGCCTGCCAATGGAGCGGCCGCTGTCCAAGATCTTCCTCAATGTGGAATGGCTCTTGGTGTACCAGTCTCCAATGAGAACAGTGTAGTCATCAGCAGGGTCCGCATAGGGAACAGGGATGAGCAGACGGCTGTTCACCCTCAGGCCACCGAAACCACCAGCTGCCTTGTGCATTTCGGTGGTGGGGTAATAGATGTAGCTACCAATCTGATCCTTTACCTGGAAGTGATAGGTAAAATTGGTACCAGGGGCAATGGGACAGTTGGTACCGGCAGTTCCATCTTGCCAGGAGTTCTTCCTGTGCTGAATTCCGCTCCTGCCAATTCCCAAAAATCATACACTAAATTCATTAATTAATCACATAAAAGATTAATTCTAGGTACCAAAATCTTAATTTGGGATTAAGGTTAAGACTAAATGAAAACAATATAATTTGAAGACATTGATGAAATTATATTATTACCATGTCAAAAGGAAAGGCTCGTTGAGATTATTGAAAACATTGATGACAATGTTATTGTTGGTGGTGGAATTGATGTTGGGACCAGGAAATTGGCCGTTAATGAGGATTCCTTGTTGGGGAACACCCAGGGGAGAGATGGTGCCATAGGTGACGTTCCAGGTGAAGAACAGGTAAGGATCTTCGCCATGAACCACCACTGTGGCAGATATGCACAGCAATAGCATAAACATCACCCTGCCCATCTCTCTCTCTGTTTTTTTTTTTTCTTTTTTTTCTTTTTTTTTTTTATCCTATATAAACAACACTTCCCCTTTTAGCAATCAGAATAATTTCTCTAAAAAAATTCAAAAAAAAATGTCCCAGAAGGCAGAAGATGCTTCTTCTACCGTCCTGAATTGAACCTCCAAAGCTCCACCCTTTTTATACAAGAGGTGAATGAAACATCCGACGTTCAACCGCCGTGAATTCCGCTGCGTCTTTTGTTAATTGGTTCCGTGCAGCGCGCGCCTCCGTTCAAAGGCAGAAGATGCTATTCTTGCTTGCCGACGATTTTACCGCCTGAAACCGTCGTCTATTCCTCAAAAGTGTCGTCTCTTTCCATTTTTTTTTTTTAATTTTCTTTTGCCAATATCAGATTGTTAGTATTAGATTGGCCATGCAGTGTGTGCAATTAGTAGAGAATAAATAAAACGAACCAGTTGTTCTTTTTAACTGAAATATTTAATTAATGGACCTATTAATGCCATTATGTCATCTTCATTTTTTCAAGCACAAACCCAACTAAATTTCGTATCTTAATGTTTTCTTTTGAATATATTGCAATTATTTACAAATTTATTGGGATGGAGAAAAAGGTTTTCGTAGGGTTCCAACGTGTAATTAATAGGAGGTAAACAGTAATAACCCAAGGTTCAATATTATTAGGTTAAAGCAGGCAGTTTAAATTAGTATTTTAGTAAAAGATCTTGATGTTAAAAAATTTTATTTTACAATCTAAAAAATAAATAGTGTTTATCCGTCTTACCTCCTAATGATTAGGGGAATATTATTTCAAAACTATGTTATTTTAATAAATACTTATTAAAAAAATTAAAATATCTTATTTATAAAACATGAATTAATGTATTTTTTATACTTTCCTATAATGTTTTATTAAAGCGAAATAATTTTAAAATAATTTTTTTTTTAATTTTTTAAAAATAAAAACGGATAAACATTAACTGCATCTAGAAATGTGTTAAAAAGATTTAGACAAAGAAAGAGTTATTCTCATCATAGGAAAAGAGTTTAAATTAACTTATATTAAATCACTTATACCATTACTTATATATACTAATCATATCCAAACTCTTTACTCTTTATACAAGAGCTTAAATGAGAAAGAGTTTTATGTATTGATTCATACCCTTTTGGGGATTGTTTATTGCTACAGAAGTTATTATTACTACCATTGTTTTTTTTTTTTCTTTTCTTTTCTTTTTTAAAAATAAAAACAACTCTCAATTTTGTTGTTATAAAATAAATTTATTTTCGAATTGCAAAATAGAAGACTTTTAAATGGGGGGAATCTACTGAACAAAATAATATTTCCAACTAATCAACCACTTAGACCAGAAAAAAAACTATCATTAGCTTTGTAATACTTATTTTCAATGTTTTTGGACCCGGCCGGTGGTGGACCTATTTTGGTCACCAGATCTGGTTGAATCGATTGAATTGATTCACTAAAAATAAGAGTGAGCTTCTCCTTAGAGCCTTTTTTTTTTTTGGCAACGAATCTTGATTACAAGAAAAAAAAATTAAAATATCCTGATGAAAAGGGGAGAAAAATGTAAAACATTACTTGTATTTCCAAATTTTGAAACAAGTTAAAAAGTAAAACAAAAGGTTCAACGGATAAAAAAAAATCATAATACCTTAAAACCAATGGAAAAAAAGAAAGAAAGAAAGAAAGTAATAAATCATTTTTGTCAAAAAAGAATAAATACAGTAAAACCATACTAA